TAATGTGGACACCAGTCAGGGTGACTCGTCATTGCGTACACTATGTTGAGGTAAGATGGTGGTTGGAAGTAGTCAACAGGAAACCCTGAATCTAGGTTTCATGTCACTTGACACTCGTCAGTATGGTGTACCTGTAATCTTGAGGGAACTGATGCTTCTTGACGAATTGTATCCCGTGTCACCCAGCTGTACAGTCAGAGATGTTACCACTGAGACTTCAATGAAGTCTCTATTGAAGTAGATACATCGGTAAGACAGTCAAACTATTCCGATATGTTCCAATCACGTCAATTAGAGGGAAAATGTCAGGTTCATACAACTGAAAGTATATTCTACAAGCCGCTAGAAGCACGAACAACAACAAGCACACAACTCAAGCACATATATATACAGCATTAAAATGTCCTTGAGAAATGTGATAAAACAGCATATAAAAAAAGCAACCAACCAATGACATTTAGGATCCTTTCAAATGGAAAATAGACATTTTTGGTGTGAAAACAGGAAATTCAAATTTCCGAAAATTACAAAAATCAGACGTTTACCAAGTGATTTCTGAGAATCTAGCATCTTCAACACAATAATGGTATCAAATACTATGTGACGTAGTAGTTTAATGGAATGGAACCAATAGTATAGAGAATTGCTTTTAGTACCTAATTGTATTGGTTTCATTTTCATTATACTTGAAACCTGATACGGATTGCACTGATGAGAAGTCCCATACTAGAATGCAACGACCGTCTAGTACTTCCAAGTATTCAATGGTGGCCTAGCTTAAATCGACTCATGAATTCAAAGATTAATAAGCTTTGAAAAAAAAACCCGATGAACTTCATAAATTGTAACAATTTACATTATTTCTGTCACAAAATGGAGTTGATTTATACAAACTACCAATATATAAACTTTAAAGTGAATTTAAAAACTAAATCCCTATACTGTACTTTAACCACCACCACCAACAACAACACTACATCTTAGGCTATTTCCGTGTCATTCCAAAAAGGTGTATATTCAAAGGAACTCGGCTTTCACTGAACTATGCTCTTTCATGAAGAGTAACAAGTGTAAGTAAGTAATATATATTGAAAGACAGAACAGTCTTGATTGTCAAAGAAAAGCAAACAAAAGTATTAACTAAACTGCTTAAACTCCAAATCTTTATGATGAAGTTTTGTTCTCTGATCAAAGTTTGTTTTTTTTTTTGATGCTGGTGATGTCATTCAAAAGAACGATAAAAGCTTCACAATTAAAACATTCAGTTCACAGAACAAAACTCCGTCGAAATCATTCAGCTCAGCTACAAATCATCTCCATCATCTCAAAACTTCAACTTATGGAATAAGTATTATTATGATTATTATTATTAACCAATAAATCTTAATTACTCACTTGATTTTAATTATGATTGTCCAAAAATGTACATCATTTGTTTTCATTTAAATAGTAACAAAATTATGCAATATGATTACAAATATTCATACAGTCATTGGTACCAAACGAAAAAATCAATAATTTATTCATTCACTTGTACTAGTAACAACGAAAAAATGTGGCGTCTCTCTCTCTCACCCTCTCTCTGTACATATATATATACATAAATTCACATCCTGTGACCTTGACAGATAGACCAATCATCTAGCGACATACAAATAGTGGTCACCAATATATATATATAATGAGTCAATCCAATAAACTGATAGAATGATATTTAAAAAAAAACATGTCTAGTAATGTGTACTATTCATTGACGAATGGACGAAATTGAAACTTGAAAGGATTACAGTAAAACAAAACTTCAGGAATTGTATTGTTTATAAGTAAAACTAGATAGTGGCTAGCAGTAAAAATCTAGGAGGCATGTTTCATCCTATTTGTGACTAGGTCAGGACATAGTAGCTAACTGGATAATGTGATAGTGTTGAATGCGAATAATGAATACTGGGTTCAAGTTGTAGAGTGAACATCAATTCTAAGATGCAGGTACATTCAGTTGATAAGTTCAAAATAGCACAAAACGCACTTCTTAGATTCCATTACTAACCACTATCCATATTTGTTTATACTACTTATGAATTAAAGCAATACAAACAGTATGTATATATGCTAATAATAGACTGATCAATTACAGTCCTAAACATCAGCCGAAAGATTCAAGTAAACAATAGCAAGTGTTTTGTTTATAGTTATTTCTCAATAAATTGTTTTCAATATTATATATGTATGGTCTGTATCCATAAGCTTCATTCTGATTTCGGACCTACATTCTGGTTTTCATATATACACACTTGAATATCAATGTACTACTTTATTCGAGATAAATAAGTACAACACTTGAAATGTTTTTAAGAATAATGATTTTCAACTAGATCTATGATGGCATAGTTATCGAGTCACTGAATCATTGATCCTTCGTTTCGTTCGAGTAAGACGAATCAGTGATCGCATTCAAGCAATAACGAACCATAACAGATAGTCTAACAGGTACTAGATGAGTAATCTATATATTCTCTTACTCTTATTATTACTATGATGGATTGTTGTCAGCTGTTGGTATAGAAATAATATTTACATTCTAATCAAGCTAATCATATGTTCTTGATCTGAGTTGTATTGACATCTTGTAGAATAGACAATGCGAGTGAATCCAGTGTAAATATTTGTATAAGTCAAATTAGAGTCCTATTCGTGTAGACGAAGAAGATATGAGTGTTATAAAAAAAACACCCCAACGGAATAGGCCAACAGTTAGATTGTCATTTAGCGATCTAGTACGCCACAGTAACATAATATATATCCGGAATTTCATGCCCAGAGAAAAAAAAAGGGAGATCACATAGATGGTTTATAAATTTGTATATAATTTCATATTGAAAATAATTGATTCCTAGTTACTAAGTATTGAAGATAATAAATTCTATCAGCAGAAGAAAAAGTTATACTGTACATGATTATTTTTAGTTTCTGTGGTGAATTATCAACAAAACGATTATAAGGATTGTGGAAACTTCTAAAGTCTATTAATTTATTTAGTGACGTGGAAAATCTTGATTGCTTAGATTGACAACGCTTTTCATCAATCAATCGATAAACTATATACTTTCTAGTGAAAATTAACTTGTCATTATATGTCGGGTAAGCAGCGATACTCTTCACTTATAGACCTTACTTTGGAATTCGATAGTTAACCGAGGGGGGGGGGGAACCGTTCCATCCTAATGTGAGACTGGTCAATAACAGATATCGATAACCACAAGGGTGATCGAGACAGAAATTTCAAGACTCTCGATAAGCTTATAAACACTATACCACTGAGTTGGCAATTAAGTTTATTCATTTTCAAACTCAATCAAAACAGCACATTACAACGATAATTGGTGCAGTATACTTCACATTCGACACAGTAGAGCTTTGGAAGTAACGAATTCCCGCGACCATAATTATTACAGAGGGTTGTGTAGATTAGTTTATTTTGTAAATGACATTAATCACAGATGGTTGTTTGGATTCTTATATTTAAACAAGTACATTTATTTCCAACTGTTATAATTCTCTCTTACGGTTATAACCCAACTATTCCTGTTGCTTAGTATTCTCAGACACCAATTCACTCGACAAGTCCCCACCCAAATCAGAACACGGCTGAACAGGAAAGAGATTATATTCCAAATAACAAGGTAGATGGACGTAAGAAGCACAACAGGAAAAACGTTAGTATACTTAGTTTTTACATGAGAAGACTTCTAGAGTATTCTCCAAGTATCGACTAGCGCTGATTGGATAAGAATTAGGTAATTAGCGTGAACCAAAGCAATCGTGCATTAAGCATGCTTCAATCTAATCTATGTCCCACTAACACCCACAGTTCGTCAGTTGAACTGTTCGATTATGATAAGTGAATATATAACTCAGCTTATTAGTCTTTTGTTGATAAAACATGAAGATATGAATTCAGAATCGTTAGTTGATCTTCCACATGACATGTTTTATTTTACATTATACAGTCGAAACTGAATATCATGTTAACGTTAACATCAATTAACCAATTTCAATCAAAAGTTAGACATTGCTCAACCACAAAATACACTCCTACGATGTTCTGTTATTTTAACCGATCTCAGAACTATTTAGCCAAAATTCACATTACATCCAAAACATAACTTGAGTACGTAACCATTTCTGTACGTCAAAATATCCTATTCTTACAAATCTGTATCCATATTGTTTAAAGCACTACGTAATAACTGACGGGTTATTTAAATGTAGTCACCAGCCAATTCTGTTTTTTGGCCTCTGACCTGTTTCTAGCATATATATATATAGTTATTATTGTAATCCAGTTATTTACACTCACTTATGTCAATTGTTTCACACTATCTCCATGTAAAAAAATTCTATCACCATCTTGGTTTGTAAGCAGCTGACGATAAACCTCGAAATAATATGAATTCATACTATTCTGCATCAATGTTTGTTCTTGCTCTATTTCAATTCTGTTTCTCCTACTGTATTGGTTGTATATGATGCAATTATCAAGTGAGTAATGTTGAGGGTTAAATGCATATATTATGCTGATTTAAGTGCTTTAAGATAATTTGAACTCTATTAGACATTATTCCGACGTCTGACAAATTTTCAGAAAATTCATGACTAACTGAAGTTAAAAATGACTTGATAATGATGTATTTTAATGGATTTTAAGATATACTTGTTAGTTAAGCTTAAAGAAGAGTTGCGCAAGATCATGGATCGAGTGAAGTTTGTCATTAACATTGTTGAATGACGAATCAGTGGTCTAAATGTAAACGGTTGGAGCACAAAACCGTAGGTCTTAAGTTCCAGTCCTGAATGCTAGATCGTGGATATGCATTGCTGAAGAGTTCCATACTAGGATGAAAATGCAGTTCAGTGCTTCCAGTTTGTTTGTTTTTTCAATGGTAGTAGTTTAGTTTAAATCGACTGATGAATTCAATTATTATAAAATACAGAAAATATAATAAAACCAAATAAATATATTTATTTACTTATGAGTTATAAAATTTAATAAAAATATAGGGTACACTAAAAAAGAGATTGGTATACAAAAATAGTCTTGGGTAAAAGCACAAATAATATAACATTAATAAAAAGGTCATATATATAAGGATTGAAAATGGAGATTCATACGTGTGATGAATTAGGTGCACAAATTGTGTTGATATTGATCAATGCTTTCCTATAGTACTGATTTAACAGTTTTGTGAGTAGTAGGTTTCAAGAGCCTGATTTAAAATGCAAAGAACAATAGTAATAATAATAAGCATAATCATCTAGAGTTTCTGAGAAAACATATTAAATTATTAGTATAGTGAGTGATCAACTTTATCGACGTGTATGAAAATGATTACTACTTCTTATTTGCTCAACATTATGAAAGAATGATTCTTCTTGGAATGTTTAAAAAATAGATATGTGTCAAAGATGATTTTGACGACCCAAGAGCATGACTACAGAGTTCAAGGGTCGAATGCTTGAGGCTAGTCACAAAAACAATTTGGGTCCAGGTGATAAGTGTTTGGACACGTAAGGTGATATGGTTCAATGATGTTTACAACGGCACATATGGAGTCATTCTCCATCTTCTGCTAAATTTTAATTTCCCTATTCCGTTAAATATGTTATTTTATTTTATCTTTTCGAGTAATATTCTTGATAATTATTCTTTATCATTACTATTGTGGATAATATGTTTGTATATATTTTTCCAAGCAACATCTGGGTCAGCCTCGTTTTCAGAACTACCTAATCGTGACCTCAGTTGTTCCTGGAAGCTACTTTTGGTTTTTTCGCTACTCAACTCAGTTCTAATGGGTCATTTTACTGTGGCTTTTTTGCGTCCAGTGAGGAACAAGCAGATGCGTGCCCGTATTAGGGCGTGGTCGGAGTCCAAGCAGGTACTTCAGAATGAGCGACAATCTTCTACCGACCCTCTCCAACGATGACTGATGGCAATATGGTCTATTTGGGTCCATCGTTGGTTTGGTGTAGGGGGTCGCCATGTTAGACGATGTCTCTCCTTATGCTTAAAATTTGTGTTTGCTAAAAATAAACGATTGTCTGAGCATAGCTGCAGCAGACGATCACCATTATCTGTTCGCTGTGTCGGAATACTAAAATATCCACCTAAATGCCTTTCTGTTTGGTTTAAACTACCTATCTGACCATTAAAGTCGCCCCCTATGAGTACTATGTCTGAGCGTTTAGCTTTCTGCAGAAGTTCGGACAGCTTTCTGTAAAATTCATCTTTCATTTCATCTGAGCTGTAGTCAATGGGAGCGTAGGCAGAAACGACGAAAAGGCAACGACATGTGTCCCTATCCTTCCGAGTTCTTACGTAGCAGTTTAGCCGAACAGCACATAAACGACTGTTAACGGGGATCCACTCTAGCAGTGCTTGTTCGGCCCTCATGCTTAGTGCTATGCCTACACCTGCCAGTCCACGAGAACTGGCCATCGGGTCACCAGATACACGGAGGGTGTATTTCGTTGGCTCTCCGTTTTGACAAGGTGAGGTCAAGTGAATGACCACACTGGAATCCTGTATGCGTGTTTCGGATAATATGTTATTTCAATTCCTTTCCTATTCTCATCGTGTTAATGTATTTATTTAAACACATAAACATTGACACAACGATGCGCCAGTCATTCAACATGTGTGAAGGCTGAGGTACTGCTCGGGCGTCAAAACCGAAGCAGGTGGTTTTCATAGGGCATTACTCCTCAAGCCTTTCACCCAGAGGGTTAGTCCACAAGGCAATGGAGCAACGTGAGCAGATGCAGTCCCATGGTAGCCGGTGACCAACAGTAGGTTCATACGCTATTCATCCCCTTAGGATCCAGGAGCCCATGTGCACCATTGGTTTGAAATCAGGGTTTTTCAACTCCTCTAGGTGGTTCCTCCATACCCACCAAACTGGTCAAAGCGACAGACATTTGCTTTTCATCCTCTCACATTTGTCAACAACACTCCCGTTGCGAAAGGCCAATCAGCAGAACTTCCCTGGCAGTGGCTGTATATGCGTGGTCATGTGAGAACATTTCGAGAGGGAGAGCGGTCTATCCCCACTCACGGCCGTTCAAAGGCATTTGGGAACTAACCAAAAATTAGGAAGTAATATTTTTACAGGTAATTCATCTTAGTGTAGTAGTGGATATTCGTGATTTGAGATCGAATATATAAAGTACAGGCCTGGATTATAACAAGTTGTAAATATGACATTTTTGTTCTAAGCAGCAAAATGTAGAGCAACTACTGATAATATCATCTAAAACGATAGTCTTCGCAAATTAAGCTATACAGTTCAAAGAACAAAACTTCATTACTGAGATTCAGGTGCATCCAGGTGACGAGTTCTAGACATTTCTGGGTCCTACTGAAAGCAAAAATTAAACTTTTTTGCAACTATTTCAGCTATAATATCGTAATAACCATGCCAGGACTACAGACTTGTATTTCTAATTACACAATATAACATGAAAGAGTAGCTACATATGTGCAAAGAATAACAATAAACACATAAAACTATACCTTGATGTACAAATACTGTTGCGTTTATTTGATATTAAATCTAAATTTGAATTCGGTGAACAGTTGATTGGTGAATGCAATAAATCCATTGTTCTATGAGACAGAGATGGAGTTTTATTGCAACTACATGAAGGTGAACAAGTTAAATTATTTGATATACAACTACCACCACTACAACCACCTTCAAGTAATGGTTCATTACTTAAATTTATATTTTCCAAACAACGTTGAATATGTATAACATTTGTATCATCATTAGTACAGTGGTGTTGTTCATCAGTTACAGTAGAAATAGGATAATGATTTTGTATGTAATGGTTTATATGTGATTGAAGACTTTCATCAGTATTTGAATCAAGACGTTTCAAAACATTATGCAATTGTACATCGATCGAAGCTAATGATACTGCTAGATCACGTGAAACTGAAGTACTATCATGTAAATGATGAGATGATATATGTGGATTATTTGAATTTCTGAGATAATTACATGAAATTGGAGAACGAGGCACTGACACTGAACGTTTTACGCGTGAAACATTAGGATTTTGATGATAATGATAACAATAAGATAAACGAGAATGTAATCTATTATTAACAGATTCATTTAAATCATTAATACATGTAGTGACAATTGAATCCTGAGGTAGTAATGGAACATTTGTATCGTTTTCATTCGTTAAATTTGTAAACACTGATGAATTTCTTTTCTCTTGGATATTTTTAGTATTAATATTTTGTTTGTCTGTTTTAGAGATTGGTAAAACATTAGAAGATGGTTGTTCTGTGTTAGTCTGCTCTTGTAATGCTGATAAACTGGCATCTAAATTGTCTAGACGTCGTTTGTAAGTTTTATAAAGTAACTAGGAAGTAATAAGAGTAAGAGATAAACTTCAATCAAATATACACAAAGAATCAAACGTGATAAAAAAGGTAATATTAAGAAAAATCACATATTGTAACTATTTGTTCGTACATTTTTATCAATTAATAAGAAAGTCACGGTTTATATTAAATACCGATTTCAGTTAAACAGAAATTGAAAACCAGGAAGCACTGTACAACTGTATCATCCTAGTATGGAACTCTTTAGCAGTGTGTCCATCCATTATACTGACAGACATCCAAACCCAAAGACATCAGGCCTCACAGCGATCGCAGTGGTATACATATTTAGCTTGAATCGATCCACCATATTGTGTAATCATTTTCCATTGGATGGAGATTCAGTGATCAAAAGATTAAACACGACGCAGGACCCTGATTTGATCCTTAATGGGGAGTGTGGATATGCACTACTGAGAAGTACCGTGTTAGGATGAAAAAAAAACTGTCTAGTACCCCCTGATTATCAATGATTGTTCAACTAGAACCGGCAAGAGTTGTAAACTTTAAAATTTGGCAATCACTACAAACTCCTTTTAATAATTAGAAGAAAATAGTCTATACATTTTTACTGTACTTGTATGCCACTTAAATATCTAATAATTTTCAAAACTGAACAAAGGTGAACTTCCTATTTTAAAAAAATTAAGTGAATACGAAATTCAAAAATATGGTTATTTATCAGTATAGAGGCTTGTGGAGATTACCAAATTTTATTGATATCACGAACCAACCTGAATTAGACACCCGTTAAAAACTAGAAAGCAACTGAACAGCAGTATTATCCTAGCATAGGGCTCACCAAGATTATGCATCCATAACTGCCACTGTGGAACACTTAACCTTTAAGTACACACTACTGAGGAGAAACAGCCGTCCAGTATTTCTTGTGAATATCTAATTGGGTTATTTGTTGAAGTTTCGTAAACACTAGTTTTGTGAATTGTGTGCATTTTCGAAACACTGACTATAAGTTTTCTTCACTCTTTATCAGGTTGTGAAACAAAAACATACCTACTGACGACCGACTATAGTTGTACTTATTGAGCTTAAAGCAGTATTTGATAGGCTTCATGGCAGTGCCTATCATTGAAAGATGTATAGAAGTATGACAGCTTTGTACAAGCTCTATACACGAATACTGATCAAATAAAAGCTAATAGGAAACTGTTCCCATTTTTCCATTAGTCATAGACATTCTTTTAAAGACAAAGCTCTCACCGTCTGACTTTCCAAGAGGTGGTCTCACTTGCTGACTTAGAATACACAGTTGACATAGTTCTGTTCGGTAAAGGCACAGTCTTCTTGGTTAGCATCTGAAGAAATCTCGACGTGAATTTAAAAAGTTTGTTTAGCTTTTGTCAACGTGAGTCACTTGTTAAGAATTGAGATATCCGTTTGTCGACCAAATGATAAGTGCACTGTGCAAAAGGAGCAACTCAAGGTCTGAGGGCTAAGTCGTACTGCTGACTGTAGAGAGGTGTGACAGCAGTATGGTGCTTCCCTCAGACAACCAGCATCTGCAGCGATGCTGCCTTCCCACAAGGAGGGGTGGGGTTAGAAAAGGTTGACCCTAAAAATGTCACACCTCACCTTACCTCACGGGTTTCCGTCTCCGGTGGTAAGGCCCTTTGAAGAACGGAGTCAACACTTTAAAAACCTTCCACGAAAAAGCCGTGCGCGACCGGCCTCAAGCAGTTGTCCCTTGAGCTCTGCGGCCACGCTCTCAGGTCTTCAAGACCAACACTAATCCAAATTCCTTTTCAGGTTCCTCAAGAAATACCCTTCCACTGTGTGGGCAGCCGGGAAGTGACACCAGCCCTCATACCCGTAACAGCACACGAGACCAAGTTGGTCACATTCAAATCCTTCCTACACCTCCTAATACCTCTCTTATCTCCATGACTAACCCTCCTCACGTCTCTTTATCACCTCGCACCGCTAGGGCAAACGATTTGAGTACGCGGAACGTTATTCCTGATCTCCTGAAACCATGCTCTAAACTACACGTAGGAGCTTTTAACGTCCGAACACTGTGCCAAATAGGACAGCAGGCTTCCTTAGCTAAGACTTTAGAATCCCGCGCCATCGATGTGTGCTGCGTCTCTGAAACGCGCATACAGGGTCCGAGTAGCGTCATTCACTTGACCTCACCGTGTCAAAATAAAGAACCGACTCGATTCACACTTCGTGTATCTGGAAGCCCTGATTCTGCTATCCGTGGCCTCACCGGCGTAGGTATAGCATTGAGTCCTAGGTCAGAACTAGCTCTCTTAGAGTGCATCCCAGTAGACAGTCGTTTGTGCGCTGTCCGACTAAACGGAAAAGTAAGGATCCGAAAAGATACGGCCACTCGTCGTTGCCTCTTCGTCGTCTCTGCCTATTCTCCCACTGACTGCAGCGCAGATGATGTAAAAGATGAGTTTTACAGGAAGCTCTCCGACCTTCTCCAAAAAGCTAGGCGCTCGGATGTAGTAATAATGGCCGGTGACTTTAATGCTCAAGTAGGTAAACTAAGCGATAGGGAAAGACACCTGGGTGGATCTTATAGCATCGTGGCTCAAAGAACAGATAATGGCGACCGTCTGTTGCAGCTATGCTCAGATAACCGCCTGTTCCTTGCAAATACTAACTTTAAGCATAAGGAAAAACATCTTTTAACATGGCGACCACCTAATTCGTCCCAACGTTGGACCCAAATAGATCACATCGCTATCAGCCACCGATGGAGGGGCTCGATAGAAGACTGTCGCTCATTCTGGAGCACATGATTAGATTCAGATCATGCTCTAGTACGAGCGCGTATCTGTCTGCTTCTTACTGGACCTAGGAAAGACGCTGCAAGGAAAACTCTTAGGGCCCTACTTAATGATAGTCAAACTAAGAGTATATTTCAGGAACAACTAAAAAAACAGTTAGGCAGCCATGTATGTCATGTCCACCCCGAGGCAGCATGGAATGATATCCGAAAAGCTGTGGAAACAGCAGTGATATCTGCAAGTACGGTAAAGGTTAGGGAGCAACACTGGATCTCAGCAGTATCTACCGCACTGATAGATGCTCGGAAACTCATTCCACCTGGCTCTGAACATAATGAGGAACGGAGTCAGCTTAAGCGCAAGCTGACAAGAAGTCTACGCAATGATCGTGAACAGTGGTGGGTAGCGAAAGCAAGAGAGATGGAAAAGGCAGAGGCAATAGGTAATAGCATCTAGGCACAGAAGAGAGTCGTTTAGGTGGCCGATGGGGACTCGTTGGTCGCAGGTCAGATAACGGGGACCGTCTACTGCAACTTTGCACAGACCACAACCTGTTTCTGGCTAGCACTAACTTTCGGCACAGTCATCGCCGATGTGCCACCTGGCGTCCTCCCTCTGCATCTCAAGCCTGGACTCATATTGATCACATCGCGACCAGCTACCGCTGGCGTGGTTGTGTACAAGACTGCCGCTCCTTTTGGAGTACCTATCTGGACTCTGACCATGCCTTGGTCTGCGCCAATCTTGCCTTACTTTTCAGTGTAGGTCCTCCGACTCTTTACGAAGTTGGAAAAGCCATAGGAAATCTGAAGCGAGGGAGAGCAGCAGGCCCTGACAGGTTTACCCCTGAGATTTTTAAGGATGGTGGTCCAGTATTAGCAATGAGATTAACTGAGGTCTTAGGTAGAATTTGGGAACTGGACGTAATCCCATCTGACTGGTCCCAATCACTGATTGTGCCAGTCTATAAGAAAGGATAAAAGTCCTATTGTGACAATCACAGAGGAATCAGTTTGACAAATATAGTATCTAAAATATTAGCTTCAATAATACTTCGACGCCTAACTAAAGCTCGTGAAGAGGAGACTAGAAAAAATCAGGCTGGTTTTCGACCTGGACGCGGTAGTATTTCTCGACCTTAAAGCAGCATTCGACTCTGTCGATCGTAAGGTTCTATGGCAGTGTTTGTCACTGAAAGGAGTACCAAAGAAGTACATTAACCTTGTAAAGACTCTCTACTCGAACACAACTGGTCGAGTGAGAACTTATGGCGAACTGTCGTCAGAATTGATTACACCAAGTGGTGTTCGTCAGGGCTGTCCACTCTATCCATTCTTGTTCAACTTTGTCGTCGACGTACTTTTAGAGATAACACTTTCCTCGTCTAAATTTACAGGGGTTGAACTTCTACCGGGAGGTTCACTTGTTGACTTAGAATATGCTGATGAGTTTTATTTGGCAAAGACGCTGACAAAATGCAGAGTCTTATGACCACTCTAAGCAACAATGCAAACATGTTCGGGATGCGATTCTCCCCCTCGAAATGTAAAATGATGCTTCAGGATTGAGTTGCATTGACACCCGAGCTAATGATAGGGAGTGAAGTAATTGAGCGTGTCGATCACTTCACTTATCTTGGAAGTCTCATCAGCCCTTGTGGTCTGGTGTGTGACGAAATCTCAGCACGGATACAGAAGGCTCGACTAGCTTTTACCAACTTGTGTCATTTATGGCGTAGGCGAGATATCCTTCTATCAACCAAAGGATGGGTTTACTGCGCAGCAGTTCGTTCCGTCCTACTTTATGGCAGTGAAACATGGCCGGTAAGAGTAGAGGATATCCGTAGGTTACTAGTATTTGACCATAGGTGTCTTCGAAATATTGCTCGTATATCCTGGGACAACCGAGTAAGTAATGTATTTGTTAGGAAACAGGTAGTACATAAGGATGGTAATTCAAATGATGACGTAGTGAAACTTCATCAGTTGAAATGGCTGTGACATGTGTTACGTATGCCCAACCACCGACTGCCCCGACGTGCGATGTTTAATAGTATAGGAGTAGGTTGGAAGAAAGCTAGGAGTGGCCAGACCAAAACATGGCACAAGTCCATGAAGTCACTGACAAGTGGTCTGAGTCATGTTGGTAGGTGTAGACTACCTGGTTGGAGACCGCGAGATGATAGCAACCGATGGTTAGAGACCCTGAATGACATGGCTCAAAATCGTTTGCAATGACGCAGGTGCATGCACTCTTTGTGTTCTCCCAAATTTTGATCTCCTTATTTCTCCTTTTCTCTTTTTTTTCTCTTCTCAAATTAATTTTACTGTATTATACTCTTTAAATAACATCTTCAAACACTAATTTTCCCGATTACTGCTTATACTCTTATTACCTCTACCACTACGGGATTTGAATCGACCACTGCATCTCTGTGTTAATGTGGTGTGGCAACTCGAACTGATGTACGTACGTACGAAGTTCTACGTTGTTACTGACTGACTGACACTGTGCAACAGCTTGCTATGCTATACTTTATGACTATGAAACGTGGCCTGTAAAAACAGGGAATTCGTATATGACTAGTATTTATTAACAGATACTTTTGAAGCATTGCTCTCGTATGTTGGGACCACTGAGTGATCAATATTGAGATCACTCAAACGCTATTACGTGAAGATGGCATACCAGCTAATGAAACAATAAATCTTCAACAACTGAAGTGGTTAGGATATGTGTTATGTAAATACAACCACCACCTAGCTCGATACGTGACGTCGTCTGGTGCAGGAATCGGTCGAAAGAAATCTAGAGGCCACCAAGGGAAAACGTGGCACTAGTCCGTGAAGTCATTGATAGTTGAACAGAGTCAGGTTGGTAGGTTTAAACCAACAGCGTCGGGCTATGTCTGATTATTATACCCAATAATTGGAAATGTTAGATGATACAGGTCAGAGTAAGTTGCAACTGCACAGATACATCTACTCTTTGCCTACCCTTGCATTGTGGATTCTAGAATTGTTTAAATAAATAAAGACTATGTTTATATGTTTAAATAAAAAAACCTGCCTCGGTCCGGCAGTCTCCCAGCCCTCGCACAAATCGAATGATTTATGTGATGCATATGTATTTGGTGCCTCTTTGCACCAATATTTATGTGTTTATGCATTGTCTTGTACTTCACTTTCTTCATTCATTCTTCATAAATTATATTGTCTATATCTAATCTTTTATGCCGTTGCTCATTCTACCATTTTGTGATTTGCCTGCATAATTTTATCTTGCTGTGGTATGGTGTTGCAGTCTGAACGGATGCACATATCTACCAGGTTTTACGTTGGTTATAACTGAGTGACTGACCCTATCTATGAACTCGACCAACAAAATAATAGTGTAACAGAACAATTGCCTCGCTTTATGAGTTTCCTCTGTCGTTTGGCTGATGTGAAACTTAGCAACTTGGACCGACGCACATTTGTCCTGCGTCCAATGTTGACCATAACTGAGAGTGAATGTAAACCCACAAGTAGTTTGTGAATCTAAGTTTATGCAATAAGATTTGGAAAGATGCTTACCTTACTCACTAACCACTTAAGTCACAGGGTATTGAAGAGTTCCATTTCTCTGTGCCCTCCAAGTTGTTTAGTCATGGGTCGAACTCCTGCGTTACAACCCTCAAGGTTGTATCAAATAACTCATGTCAAGGTAGTAAACCGGGTCGAAACAACTATCTTATCTTCTCGATATATTAAGTATGACCTAGTGGGCAGACAAATCAAGATTGTAACAAGTAGAATAAAGTACTAGTCTTTAATCTACCAAAGTCACTTGAATATAGTGACATAATTATATTCATCAAAAATAGGTTACCTTGAGACGAAACAATTTGCCTTGTACACGAGAACGTTCTTCAACCAAATGACTAATACATTCTGATAAATTAATCAAGCTTTTATTGGGCTTCGACTTCATATTACTTTGATCCACTTGAATTCCATCAGTCGATTTTTCTACACTGGCATTTTGTTCTGTTAAACACGTTCTACCTGGAGTGAGCTGATATGTAGAATTTTTCATATTTTCAGGAAGTATAGATGAAGATAATTTTGAATTGGCATCTAAAGACGATACACCATGGCCAATACATTTATCATTTCTAATAGATGACTCTGTTTGAATGACAGCAGTTGGAGATATACCAACTTCAGGGCATAGAATATCTTCATTAAATGTATTTTCAATTTTTTTCACAGGACTAGAAAATGCCTCTAATCGTTTACAATATGTTTGATTGTTATCTACAATGTTCAAAAGATCCGATGATGAGAAACATCTAGATAAATTGCTTACAATATGTGAATCCTTCGTTATTGTCGTAGGATTGTATTTAGTGAGTGAATTTGGTGTTGCATTATTGCAGAGATTTGAGTTGGTTTTTTTATGACTGCTAGTTAATAACAAAGATTCTCTTATTTTTGACTGTAATACAGTTAGGTTTTCATCTGCTTGACGAAGATTTTCTTTGTACATTTCTGACCAATATTTAAAACCTTCTGATGAAAGATGGTCTTTACGAGAGGATCGTTGAAGTTTCTCATGATTATTAACAAGTGATTTCTCATGTATCTTATTTTTCGATAATTTTATCTCAAGATATTCAGTAGGATCATCTGCAACTGGCAGATGATCATCGTTTCTAGTAGTAACAACTGGACATTGAAAGCGAGGTTCTGCGAGAGCACTGGTCGAGAGTTGATTATCGCTTTCGTGCTTTTCTATGAGTTCTTTGGAATTATTTGTATTCAGCTTGCCTACAGATAGTTTGTCGAGAAGTAAAAGTGAATTTAAATGTAATGAAAATAGTAAATAAACATTAAATTAGTCGAATACATTTGTATACTTGAATAAACATATCTTTAAGGTAAGATTATAAATAGTTTACATCTATCGTTTATTATCACCCGTTTGGACCAATATAAGATTACAGTTTGTAGACTTAGTCTAGAAACTGCAATCTCACCCAGAAATTAACTTGGCTTTCCCTCTCATTAACACGAACGCATACAAAGAACTGCTTTCAGGAAAGTGATGAACAGGAGTAAAATCCAATCGTGAAATCATGGGAGAGTAAAATGCACAAAAACTGGAATGTGGGAAAGTGAAAGGAAGAAAAAACTAACCACGTAAAACGTGTACAGGGAGAGTACCTGGTGTTGATGATACTCCCTGGATCCTAAAACTGAAGTATTTGAAACAAAATCCAAACTTGCAACTAAATGATTAAAAGTCAGTGTTTTTCACAACCTTACAGTTATCGTGGGATCACAGTATACTCTCATGTTTGAGAGACTAAAATATGTGACGAGTGATAAGCGTACCTTACTATGTAGGCCACAAATCCATAAAGCACCCAGAGTAATGACTTCGCTTTATGACTAATATCCTTACATCAAATAATGTAGTCACTCCAAGGACAGGCCTCTTAAACTTCACAATGTGTGGCGAATTATATTTTAAAACATCTAGATAAGGGAAAGTTAAGTGAGAAGGTTAAGTCGAGTTATGCAAGAACTTTGTGGGTAGTTATCGATGCTCCCAACCACCGGAAATCCGTGTATCCAGGTCAGATAGGATACTTGCAGGGCCGATCATCCTAACATGTTTTCCGTTATGAGGATGGATAATGTTGACTATCCACAAGAAATATCTTACTAATGCCACACCACAGTGCAATACTTGTATGACTTCGTCCCTGGGTATTAAATTTCTTGACTGACTGACTGACTTGAAGTCTTAAAGAATCCCAACAGACTTATCTAGTATAACAGAACCCCAAAGAACCAACTTATTTATTTAAAAACATAAACATTGGTACAAGGAGGCACCAAATAGATATGCACCACATAATTTCTTCGATCTGTCTGAGGGCTGGGATACTGCCCGGTTTGGGGGGGGCCACACCCCGAGTCCTTGACCTAAAAGTCTGACCCACGAGGCAATGGAGCAAAGTCAGGTGATGCAGTCTCATGGTAGCTGGTGACCAACAATAGGTTCATACGCCATTTGTTCCTTCAGGATACTGGAGGCTATGTGCGCCACTGGTTTAGAGTGAGGGTTTTCCGACTCCCCTAGATAGACCCTTCATATCCACCAGTTCGCCTAGAGCACCGAACATTCGCTTTTTGTCCTCTCAATTTCGTAAACAACACCCTCGCCGCGAGAAGGCAGTGAGTAGGACTTCCCTTGAAGCGGTTGCATGGACGTGGCCATGTAAGAGCTTTTGCAGAGGAAGAGCTGACTCTCCCCATTCCCGACCTCATAAGCTAATGTTTCATCCAATGTGCATCATCGGCACAAAATTCGATCACTGTCAGTGTGACAACCACAATAGAGGATTATGTAATTATACATGCATGATAGTTAAGGACGAGAACACGAGCCGATCTGAGTTGACGGGAGGTTAAAAATTTAACTCTTCTAATCAGTAGGACATAAATTACTTTATTCAGGAACGTAAATCCCAATAAAAACAGGGAAGAATTGAGAAATAAAAATAAAGCGACAATATTGTGAAGAAATAAAATAGAAAAGTAGTAAAATTAACACAGAAACAAGCAGAAATATTCATTAATAAATGATAGTCTAGTTGAAAAATATGACCAAGGTAAACGGAAGATAACCTCAAAATAACTTACACAATGATTTTTTCTCGAGGATAGTCAGTCACATGAGTGCTTTAAAATTCAATCGCAGGTCTAGGGAATCATAAACTTTCATTGATTCTTCCAGTCGACGGTTAGTGAAGAAATAACTTATTTATCAGTTAATCGAGGCTACGTATATTTACAGTGGCGATTCACCAACACAAGAACAGTTTATTAGACATATATAGACGGAAACCTTTAATAGCTTATGAATACAGTATTGAAGTCAGTTGATTGGAGGCAATTAGCAGCAAAATCACTTATACGCACGACCTGAGCCAATTAGGATTCATCAGATGTGCATCCTTTATTATGAGGAAACTGCTCTCAGTAGAACTAGAATCCGTTACCCAGCTTCGAACCGTCTGAGATGTTACCAGTGAGCTACTCGAACAGCTGCTAATCTCCTGTAGAACTGGTATATTGATATTTGCTGAATAATTCCGTTTCGATTGAAATGACGTTATAACAAACGCAGTACAAAAAAACCGAACGAGAAAAGAACAACACTCACCTTCATGCGGATCAGAATGAGTTGGTGTATATCCTCTTGCTACCTCTTTGTTGTTTATGGATGATTTCGAATGCGGGCGCAATAAACCATTTGACACGACGGAACCAGTTTCTACAGATTTATCATGAGGGACTTTGCCAGAACTACTTGTTGCATCAATGGCATCTTGTTTCTTCTGACGGGCTTTAACAACACAATCTCGAAAGTGTCTATCTAATGGATGCTCCCATAAACTAATACCAGATGCACTGTCATAATAGAATATTTGATTATTTTCATCCTACGGAGAAAAATAATTAAATATAAATGTTAATTTAGTATATGTGAATAACTGGTTATGAATTGTTTGGTTAAAGTAAATATCACTCCAATAGTGATGAACAGTACAAAAATCATTACTACTTAGTCCAAGTATCTGGATAATTTAATTAGAAAAACAATGGTTCATATTATTTTGACACAACAAATTGGCATCGCAATAAAACTCAGAAATAATCAGTTTCGTAATCTTCTAGTTACCAAGGGTGGCTCACAGACCAAATTACTAAGCTTTTAATTAGGTCGTAGCTTCAGATTTTATTTCCTCTGCCTCGACTTAGTCGATCAAAAGGGATTACTACTTTCCACACACACACTGACAAAGAGCTTTAAATGTAGACAAGGAAGCCTTCCTCGTCAGAGTTTGCCGGTTGTATGATATCAGCGAAACCTGATCAAGCTACGGAATTGTTTTACGATACTGATAAGAGATCTAATCATAACTTTAATTTGCTTACATGCTTAATAAAGTGAATTACCGTTGCACTTGAAACTGATGTGTATATGAATAAAAAAGTAATCACTGCAAAAGTGGCAGTCCCCTAAGTTACATGTTTTGAATTGTGCTGTTCCAAGCAGTGCCTGAATTCGGTTAAACTAAATACATAAACTTGTGACACATGAATGATACAACATGAAGCCAAATAATATGAAACTACATCTACTTACTGTCATTCTCCAATAAACAAAGCATAACTACTACGAACCATACCCAAGTTAGGTCAAAAAGCGTAGATTAACAACCAAATATTCCTGCTACTTATTTTACTTACATAAGCATAAGACTAACGTCAACAAAATATTGCGATTATAGTATGAGTATCTAAAGAATATCTTATAACGCTCAGATATCCTGGTTGGAAAAAATAGAATCCCAAGGATTTTCTAGCTCTTGATCTACAAGGTAATTCCTACTGTGGATGTATATTATCTTGATACTTTCAAAATGGAAAAAACCCTCTGTTAACGTTTTACACGTCTCAAGGCATACAAATAGGATATAATGAAAAAGGGAAACGACGAGCGCGAACAGTAAAGATAACTGATGCTATCAAGCAGTAAACTAGAAGTGGCAGTACTTCGTGAAAATATGGTTACCTTGAGAACTTGCCAGCCAGTCGGTAAATGTGCAGAAACCCCTTCCTTAGCGATATAAAGCAAGTCTTGCTCCTTTTCAACATCGATTCCCAAACTTTCAGCATACAACATTACTTCATCTTCCGTAGGCTCATCAAAGACACTCTCCTCCAGCAAGACAGCCTTAAGCATTTCCAAAGTTGCGCACCTTTTCGAAATTCTTACTTCCGATCCGTATAAAAATGATCAACAATTCAGTCTTCAATAACAGATAGTGTAGATAATATTCACTTTTTGGCTCTGCTATTTGGTGACCCCAGGTAAGTGGGCAGCCAATCAAACTCTCATCTTCAAATTTATTATAAAGGTTTGAAGTCATGTAATGTACAATTGTAAAGATCCAGTGTACCGAAAAATGTATTGTCAGGTGTTAGTACGACGTACTCTGTGAAAGTACAGAAATCCAATATCACCAAAGCCATCTAGTAAAATCGATGAACTACGTACACACCGGTTATACGGCACGCTTTCAGGCCATCAGTAACTGTCAATGTACGCAGTGACCAATAACCCGTAGAAGTCCTAACAGATTTACAGCCGCTTTGTAGTTTTATTTCTCAAATTTAGCTCAAAACATTATTTCAGGGTGTTGGAACTACTGTAAATATAATACTTATGATAAAGTAGTCAAGTCATAATATATGGTAGAGCGAAACCAAAGAATGTTGTAGCGGTAAATAAATCCCCAAAATAAATAGCTCTGTAAGTCTTGGACATTGGACGCTGCCCACATTAATTTTAATGGACTCACCTAGCTGAAGGCGCTAGGTCATGCATCCGCAGCAGATCACGAGTGGGAACGCCATGATCAACATCCCCTGCGATCACTAGTCAGATTTGATCAGTCGGTATGTTGATAGCCTATCAAATACATCTACGAACCTACTCGTTTCTGTCTTTTGATTTCACTTGGTGAGTACAATTCATAATAGAATTTGTTACTGGTAAAAGCGTTGTCAAACTTCGAATGCCTTTGGCATATTCCTTGCTGAGTCTCACGTGATCTGGTACGCCAAATCGCAAACTGTGAGTCTGTTCCTTTTTGGAGTTCTGTACGTCACTGCTTTATTTTAACTTTGATATATTGTGATATTTTTTTCGTGTTTCTCGATATTTTTTTCACGCGTTCGTTCTCGTACTTGATACTTAACCATGACGGAACAGACACCCAAGTTACTTAGGCTAAAGACTATGTCCACACCTTCGTCTCAACTAATGCCTTTCTGGCCAGACAACATCTTCAACGTGAAATAAATTTATCTTGCGGTATCTTTAAGTAAGGCTCATTATGAATAGAAACGTGATTATTGTGCATCTATTTGAAAGGACTTAGCAAGAGTCTTTTATCAAGTCTGTAACATGGGCGTTAGAGATAAAATAGACCGGTTGTGAGAAAAAGCTACCCCTTATCTTGGTGTTCAGTGGTTGATATATATGTCTTTAAGCAAAATTTCTAGGTTGAAACGTTTGCGTTGTAAAAAGATTGAGTTTGGCAGTATGGCAAATAAGACTGTTAAAATCTCTGATACTTACAAGCTTGTGTAACATTCAAAACTAATCTTCTGATAGCATAACGACCTTATTAGCGAACTAGTAGTTATAAGCAGGTGCGGATATCCAAGGGTCGCCTGAATCTTTTTCTTCTGCTTGACTTCGAATGACTTCTCATCTTCCCTTGAACTTGGACTGGATCTATTCCTTTCAGTTTTATAACTAATTATGAAGTTGATACTCTAGTGTTTTCCGTTTCATAAAAATAAGCATGAATATTTCCTTGTAGTTTTGATCTGTAAGCAAAAACGCTTAATCTACATTGATCTCGTCATTTAGGCTAAACCATCCGTATAACTAATTTAGGACGGATTATTATTTAACATTAGATGAACCCTATGCTCTTATTGACTAAACGACACGCGAATATGATTTGTCCTGGAATGGGTCTTGTTTGCCGATCATTCTTGTAAAAGGACTGATTTTATTGTGCACCGTATTATATATTGGATCTCAGAATGTCTGTCATAGTCCAAGTTGCCGAACGCCAACAACAACTTGCTGTATTGCTCAACGCGAAATATCTACCAGTTTAACTCGATATATCATTATTCCAGATGGATAGATAAGAACCATGAACCACCGTGATAATTCAACGCCTCTAACCTGAACACTACTAAATAATCTATTATTTCGGATTAGTGTCCAGATGTCTTATATCACTGTGACTCGAATTGATTGAGGCTGGTGTGAATTTAAATGCGTTCATCACCTTCCTTTGTGTCGAAAAATGCAAAGAGACCTGACTGAATGTCCGTAGCACGTATGTCTGATATCCGGTTGTTTCAACAAGCCAATTTACTTTTGTTTGTTTAAACACATCATTGTATCCATTAAAAGCACAACCTATATAGGCGCTTTTATGAAGCGTTTACAATCTTTCGCTGTCTGCTTACAAAAAGTATAATCAACGACATCGGAAAAGATTTACGTTTTTCAGATGTCGATTTTCGAACTGTTAAGTGAATATCACTCAAAATTTGCAGTTAGTACCGGTCAGCAAATTAGAGAACGGAACGTGTTGAAAAAAATTTGTTCTGATAATTTTATATTGTATCAAAAACATAATAATGGATAAAGCTAATAGTAAAGATTGCTCAAGCTAATAGACCATTATCTAAGTTTCGTATTCACAACTGTATTAAAAGAAACTTCGACGTAAACACAATTGAAATACCCAAACATATCATCCCAGTCAAAAACATTAACTTTGTTTCATTTTATCATCCTAACAGTCAAGAAAGAATCAAAGATTTAAACTTTTGTTAATCGAAAATAATGAAAGACGAATTTATAATTGAACGGTCGTTTTATTCCAAAAGCTTAATAAGTTTCACAAATGAAGACGAATTGCAACACAATTAACTGATTTATCAAAATTTATTTTCAATACATCTCAAGTAGCAAGTGCTGTAATTTACTTGGACACTACTCCTCCAAGACATTAAAACAAATCAAATAGGAAAGTCTCATGCTGGTGATGACGGTTTCCATGAGTTTCCGTAGGTATGTCCGTTCGAATAATAGAAGAAAATACTTCAAATATTTAGAAACCAATCTACATAACAGTGCAAGTAGCTCCCATATAGATCATTTTGAGATTTGACGAATTCTGCCTGATGTTAACAACGGTGTAAAGCAGTCAGCATAACACATATTGGCATTTTCTATCTAAATCAAACATCTCAGTTTCTGTTTCAACCGCAATGCATTGTATGTATCTCCAAATGTAAACACCGGATATGCGTGTTTAAAACTCTAGTGTCAATATGTTGATTAGTTGCAATGTATATTAAGGATATCCACATACTCTAGATGAAAATTCATATAAGTGAAAATATAAATAGGGACTGGTGTACACATCATTAATTTTAAAAGAGCCCTAAGGATACGTTTCTATTTGAAAAATCTTATCCAAAACATATTCCTGCTATCTATGAAAACTCCAGTAACTGAAGGCACGAAATCAGTCGTTTTGGAAACATGCTGATCTTAGCATTTACATCAAATATAATCTCTATTACAAGTCTATCTCCAGTCCACCATTCCGTGAAAGCTGATTCATGTATGAAGTGCACGACTTTTATGATGTCAAAACGGAACTTTAAAGCAGGGCAAGTTACTAGCAAAACGATAAATACCAACCTTCATAAGGAACTCTTTCAAGATTCATGAACATTTCAATCATGTCTAAATCACGTGTTTTGGCTGACCAACAGTCATCAACAATGACATATGGATAACGCGAATCTCTTCAAACAATGGATACATATATGTCGGCTGTACGTTTGATTAATCTCTCTCACTGATAAAATCTTCTGAATAGTCCTGACAATCATTTTGACTTCAATGTTGTTGCCATGTCATACAACTCGCTGGTGGAGATCTGGCTATTCTATTATCTAGACTGGACACACAATTGAGAGTGCAAATAACGAAATACAAAACCAAAACCTTCGAATGTGAATTTCGAACACAATAGGTTTTTAAACATAAGTAACTTTGAGTATTTCGGCGTTTTAACTACTAGCGATTTGACGGCTGGTGTTGAACTACTTGAGAAGTAACTTGTGAATATAAGCGGATATTCATTTCTTATTAGGGAAGTCTTAGAATTTGTATCAAAAATTTATGATAGGCCACATGGGTAAAAATAAACTGATCGGTAGTCAAATTACAAATTTCAAAGAAGCAAAACAGTACACTGTAGAGCTATCAGTTTTATGTTTACTGAAAACTAATACTTGCCAAAGGGAGGTTATATGTAGAGATAAATTGTTGTCGGAAACAGATCTTACTCGCAATCCGGTAGACTGAACGACACTTGAATCAAAATAAACGTACTACTTTTATTGAGTCAACTGATGTTTGATATTAATTTAACGATAAATAAAAACAGCATAACTGAGAGAAATGCTGAAACCTATTTCATGCAAATTACGTTGCTGGATGTTTTACTAGATGGAATTCACAGTGAGCTAGTAATAAACAGATTGTTATTGTGAATACATGCCAGACTGAAATAAAATGAACGTCATACAGGACAAAACATCAGACATCATTACGAGATTAACGAAGCGTTTTGGAATAGGGATAGCACATAAATCAACGAAATCACTTCAAGCGATCCTCTGCAATCCAAATGACAAAAAAAGAAAAACCCGAACATCATCTACAAACTAAATTGTTTCGGACTGCGAAAAACACCACATCAGACAAAGTGGACCCCTCTTCCTTTTCGCCTGCATGAATATCAATTGGCGGTCAAACGCTATGACATACTCTCGATTATATCAACGCATGTGGACAACTGTGAGCACACATTCAACTGGAAAAATGTTGAGAACTTGGATAGATAGAATTCTAAAACACCAGAGAATTTTCAGAAGCTTGACATTCAGATCAATCAGAAATCAACAAGGACATTATTAGCTGATCAGAACAGATATGAACAAATAGAGGATCAAGAACCAAATCAATGAGATACACAATCAAAATAAAGAAGTAAAGAATGACAGGATAAACGTCAGTAATGACCAATCAACATCGAGGTCAACAGGACAAGCTGTGAACCATATGTGGAAAAATTTGGACGCTTTACTATTACCTAA